ACCTGCATTGTATATTATATATTATATATTATATATTGTTTAGGGTTTATAAGGGTTTAGGGTTTACAAGGGTTTATAAGAAATGTCTGAGGATGTAAATGAAGGGGGTGTATATATTCTTTCTTCTCCCCCGCAACAAAAAAAATATAAAATAAATAAAAAAGGAAAAATAAAAAAAATAATAAAACAAATTTATTTACGTGATGATATTCAATGCGGCGTTAAGCAGTGCTGTCTTTGTGGGGACCCCACACAAAACATAGGTAAACCATAAACCCTAAACCCTAAACCCTAAACCCTAAACACTAAACCCTAAACCATAAAGGATAAACACTAAACCCTAAACCCTAAACCCTAAACCCTAAAATATAAACCCTAAACCCTAGACCCTACACCATAAAGGATAAAGCATAAACCCTAAACCCTAAACACTAAACCACAAAACCACGGTAAACCCTAAACCCTAAGCCCTAAACCCTAAAATATAAACCCTAAACCCTAAACCCTACACCATAAATTATAAACCCTAAAGGACAAAACGTAAACCCTAAACCCTGAACAATAAATAGTAAACAATAAACCCTAAACCCTAAACCCTAAACACTAAACCATAGACCCTAAAGAATAAAGCATAAAGAATAAACCCTAAACCCTAAAACATAAACCCTAAACCCTAAAACATAAACCCTAAAACATAAACCCTAAAACATAAACCCTAAACCCTAAACGCTAGAGAATACACAATAAAGAATAAATAATAGAGGATAAACAATAAACAATAAACCCTAAACCCTAAACCCTAAACCATTCTTATCTTTGTATTTACTTCTGCTGCTGCTTCTGCTGCTGCTTCTGCTGCTGCTGCTCCTGTTGCTGCTGCTGCTGTTTCCGCTGCTGCTGTTTCCGCTGCTGCTGCTGCTGCTTCTGCTGCTGCTGCTGCTGCTGCTTCTGCTGCTGCTTCTGCTGCTTCTGCTGCTGCTGCTTCTGCTGCTGCTGCTGCTGCTTCTGCTGCTGCTGCTGCTGCTGCTGCTGCTGCTGCTGCTGCTGCAGGCCGTTTGCACCTGGGGGAGCGTGTATTGTTGCTGAGCAGTTGTTTTATAATAAACTGTATCGACATAATCGAAGAAAATAAAAATTTAAATAATTTTATTATTCTTTCTTCTGTTCTTAATCAAGTCAGATTCATGCTGCTGCTGCTGCTGCTCCTGCTGCTGCTCCTGCTGCTGCTGCTGCTGCTGCTGCTGCTGCTGCTGC